GTTGATGGTGATCTGATGAAATCATATGAAATCTTACAAAAGCAACAAAGTTGACCAGGTGATAGTAGTCTTGCAACGATAATGTCTAGGCGATGTTGATCTAGAGATCATAGCGGTGTCAAGTAAAAAATATTGGTTTAACAGTGTCGATTGCCGGTGATGTTGGTTCGGCGGTAAGAGTGAGTAACAGAAGTTTTGGAAACTGAGCGATTGTGATTTGGCAACAACAACGACAATTTGATGATGGTTGTGGTGGTCTAAGGTTGACCTGGTGATGATGGTCTAATGGTGGCTATAAATCATGATGGTAGCAATGATTGCTAGCTAATGGAATCACGATGACATCAGTGGATGATGATGGTCGTGCGATGGTGATCTAGATGCAATCCAGTGATGGGAGTGGTAAGTGGTCCAGTGTTGATAGCAGTTGTAATGGTTATTGGTTAAAGGTGGTCTAACAATAACGATGGTCGATCAACGATGGATCAACAATGGTAGTGCCCTGAAAATGATGGTCAGGAGGCAACAATTGTAGTTATGATAGTTGGGAGAAGGTGGTTTTATGATGAAGGTTGTGGTTGCATAGTCATGGCTTCAACTGTCGGACGATGGTGGTTTAGAGTTGGTCAGGTGACTATGGCCCAACCATGACAATGATAGGGTAATGATGGTCTGATGATGGCAATGGCCTAATGATACTGGTCCAACTGTGGTAGAGTTCAAGTATCCTCAATAGTTTGAAGCTCATGTCGATCATCGAGGACCAAGTCCAATTTTATAAGGAGAGTGTGACTTTATTAAGAGATTTTAGAGTGACATTCTTTGTAAATAATGTTTAAATTCATACTACTCAATTGGAGGACCAAGAAAGTATTCTTTTAGTTGGATGATATTTTTTGAGCGTTAGAGCGCCTTAATGATGTCAAAATTAAGCTCTTCTGAGCTCGTTGAATTTGCCATAGTAAGACAGTAAATTTGACTATAGGCTTGCCAAATTTTGTGATCATTTGGTCAACCAAAATAAATCCCAAAGTTTCTTATTATGCTTTAAGTGC